CAAAACGCTGCGATGCCAAAAATGAAAAGCCAAAAGTCCCCTAAACTACAGGCTCCGTCCTATTAATAGACTAGCCTACTCTAGACCTATACCTATTGGACCGGCACCGCATCAGTTTGGCCTGCTCGGCCTGGGCCCTACCCGACTATGCGGCGTCTAGACCATCTCTACAGCCCAAGGCCCAGATGGTCCTGCTGTCCTAGTGATAGCCCGGGTCTGCTAAGGGCCGTAACGGCTAAGGGGAACTCGGGCCTGCATTTGCGTGTAAATTGTAGATATGTCCCTCAAGAATTTCCCTCAGGACTGTACCGGCGGTTAGTCCCTGACACAAACAAAATTACGAACTTGACCCTAAGACACGACTATACAACCGCGCAGTCAGATCTCGGCAGCAGAAATCAGCAAGTCATTGCAGGGGTGTTCTAACTTGAACCACAGGTGGTAAAGTTGGTTTCCAAGGTCCACACGCCTTGACTGGCGGGACCCTGCTGCGTAGGGGCAGGGTAGTTTCACTGCAATAGGAGGTTTAGAAGATGGAACACATGGATGTGAGAGTTGTGAATACGTCCTGTATTGGGCACATACAGATTTACATACAATTCAAGCTAGGGTGTTGGTATAGATGGAGGATGACATATGACTATGGGGTTGTTACCCCAACGCCGAGTGCAGATTATGTACACATTTGGGCAGGGAACATGCACGGTTCAACACACCAGCTAAGAAGAGCATGCGGATCTGAACATGCATAATTTAACGGACTGTAGACCAGATTTGAAAGTACATAGGTATTGATAAAAACACAACATGCAGGTCGCAAGTTACATGGATGTATACATAATGTATACTGGGAGTGACGAATATGGTTGTGGTAGGTGGGGAAAAGTAATAAGGACATGCTCTAGCTCTACACCCCTGGATAGGAGGCATTATGATGTGGTCATGGGCTTGTAGGAAAAAATGATAACACCTGGTGTCCAAAGTGCCTATGGGACATGGCTCGTCCGGTAAGTGTTTCAACTACCTTCTTAAACCACCAGTACTTGGCCCATACATTGGCCGCGGGCCTTACACGTTAACGCGCCGCACTTTGTGGGGTTCGGGGGAGGGTCGGAGTCGCAATGGGGGAGGAAGGTGGTGGGCCCAAGGAAAGCTGCCCTATGTACTGCAACATGTCCCCTTGGATTTCCGTTCATGTGGAAACATGCACGGACGCTTTGTGCAATGAGCAATGCCAAGAAGGTGAAAAGAGAACGAAAAGTAAGTTCGCATGCATCCGGACACATTTTTGGCCTGAAGCAATGCCGTGAGCAGTGCTTTGTTTTTTGGGAAGCAGCTGCTCGGCTGTTTCTGCTACTTCAGTTCCCCGTGGGAGACGGGGAGCACTCGATACCTGCCAAGATTTCAAATCGAGGTCTGCATAGTTACGTACCACTTTCCAGAATGTATCTAGCTGCACTTGGATGCAGCTCTGGATGAATCTGAGCCCAATCACGTTCAGGGCTTGGTTTCTTTTTTCCCTTTTTTTTTCTTTTTTTTGGGGGGAAGTAGTAGCTCGTCTGTTTCGGCTGCTTTAGCTCCCCGTGGGAGTGAGAGACGGGGAGCACTCAACACCTGCCAAGATTTCAAATCAAGGTCTGCATAGTCATGTACCACTTTCCAGAATGTATCTAGCTGCACTTCGACGCAGCTCTGGATGAATCTGAGCCCAATCACGTTCAGGGCTTGGTTTCTCTTTTCCCTTTTTTTTTTTTGTTTTTTTTTGTTTTGGGGAGAAGTAGTAGCTCGTCTGTTTCTGCTGCTTCAGCTCCCCGTGGGAGACGGGGAGCACTCAATACCTACCAAGATTTCAAATCGAGGTCTTCACTTCTCCCCAGGCCATTTTCATGTACACGAGTAGAAACAAGGAAACGATCCCCTCTTTACATTCCAGCTGCTGGCAGCAGGTCCAGAATAAGGGCCGGTACCTGTGCCAAGCAACAAATGTCACATGTTGGTTCCCGCCCCCTGTAGGCTCGGCAAAAATCGGTGGGCAGGGCGTATTCAGGCTCGGCTTCAATAGCTGGGCCAAGTACTGGTGGTTTAACCCGAAAAAAAACGTACAGACGTTCTATTCGAATTACCTCTGGAAATTGGGTTTTCAGAAATCGCTTGTTTTCCCCCGAATAGAACGTACGTTTGAATATAACGTACGTACTCGAATACAACGTACGTACGTTGTATTCGAATACAACGTACATGTGTTGTATTCAATTTTTTGGAACTTCAATTTTTTAAAAATCATCAAAAAAATCAAAAAAAAAAAGAAGAAGTTATACAACAATGCAATACAAACAACGTTTGCGTGAGAGTCTTATCGAAATTCACGAGAAAATTCGAGAAAAAAATAAACACGAGGATGAAAATTTTTAGTAATTTTTTACCATAGTTGTGGCGCACCTCGGTGCGCGGATTTGCACACGAATTGCGCACCACATGCAGCGCACTTGAAAAATTAGGTCCCGTAAAAAAAAAAAAGTAGGGGTTTTGTAATTTCTTAGGGCCCCCAACTCGGCAAAAATGTTAAACTCACCGCGCAAGCTCGCAACCGGCCGCGCCCACGGCGCAAACTTTTGGGTAAGGGCTGCCGAAATTTCGATTTCCACAGGCCCTTCCCCCAAAAGTTTCAGAATGGCGAAGCACAAAATAGGGCTCATTCCAACTGTTTTTTTAGGCGGGGTATAAAGCTGTCCTTCCCGCGCCCTTCTGCAAATCCCACACAGTAGTGGGGTAAGTTTGCAAGAAGGGGTAGTCGCCTAATAACGACCTGCCCTGCGAAACTTCGCAGAAGTCACAAATTGCATGTTCCATGGCCAGCCGACCACCAACATATGCTGAAGATTGGAGTTCAGGTCCGCATGTCGGCAGTTATGGGTTAGGATGAAGATGCCCGTGGCTCTCTGTTTTTTTTGTTTTTGTTTTCTTATGAATACGCCCAGTGGGGATGCACGAAAGACAATAGCATATGGCGGTGTATGGTTCCATGTTTCAGCAGAAGATTCATTCTACTAATATTATATACATTTGGTGAGTGGTGGAGGGAGGCCCTGAGAATCACGTGGAGACACGAACAGGGTAGCTGAATTGGTGACCCATAACTGCCGAGCTACAGCCCTGAACTCGAATCCACAGCATATACTGGTGGTCTGCCCCCATCTCTCCTGCACGTGACGAGGCCATCCTTCTCATTGAAGCTGGCCCTCAATGGCTCCACATGTATTGTAGGAGCCATTCGAGGTATCTGCAGGGGCCCTCAAATTGACGTGAAGGGGACCCCTTGTTTCTCTCTCTCTCTCTCTCTCTCTCTCTCTCTCTCTCTCTCTCTCTCTCTCTCTCTCTCTCTCTCTCTCTCTCTCTCTCTCTCTCTCTCGGGGCCTGTCTCTTTTTCTTTTTTAATCGCGCACAGGGCGCACACCGCGCACAGCGGACCGCACTGCGTACTGCATGCAGTGCACGGCGTACAGTGCGCACGCTGTCGTTCCAGCGCACAGTGCAGTGCGCACCGCCCCGCACCGCACTACGCACTGGTGCGCGGCAACTATGTTTTTTACTGATTTTTTCAGAATTTTGATTTAAAATAACTTCAGTAAAAAATCCGAAAAAAAAGCATGTTGTACATCATTGCAATGCAAACAACGTTTGCCTAAGGGTCTTGGCGAAATTCCCAACCAAATTTGAGATAAAAATAAAAATAATGGCGGTACTACAGGCTTCTGAAAAGTTGTACCCTAAAACTCGTTCTATAACGTACGTACATTGTATTCGAATACAGTGTTCCCCGTACGTTGTATTCGTATACAAGGTACGTACGTTTTTTTCGGGTTAAGAAGGTAGGGCTGGGTCTGCCTGCCCAGCACTGGTGCATTCGACTGCTGTCCATAATTGTTGCCTGCCAAAGGGGGTACATGAGAGAGACGGAGCATCACTCTGTGAACATCATCATGAGGGCGATGAGCAGCCTTGTAGGGAGCAAGTGCAGAGTAGGGTTTGTTCTACCTTGAATCACCAGATCTAGGGTGGGTCTGCAGGGTCCACCGGTGGGTGGCAGGGTAGTTTCACTGGATTCGAAGGCTTTTGTTCTGAGTGTTAGGGGGGGGGAGCAGGGGTTGCGCTAGGGAGTAATGTTGACCTTCATGAGCTTAAAGGGGGGGGGGGGGGGGAGTAGGGGGGCCTTGCAGCAATCCAATGGAAGTCCTGGGTGTACCTAATGTCAGAGCAACAATGTCAGCAAAAGTTGAATGATACCACACTTTCAGCTTCCTGCCCAGCTTAGAGCACGAATCAGAGAGAGAGAGAGAGAGAGAGAGAGAGAGAGAGAGAGATGAGCGGACGGATGGATGGACAGAAGGACGGGCTGAATGACAGGGACTGACAAACTGACACACAGAAGGACTCACAGATAGACGGACAAATGGATGCAAGGACATATTTCATTTGCAGACAGTACCAGGCTGGTCTCATCACTGCTTGTCAAGGTTGCACTACTCATCTATTGATATTGTTCGTCTGCGTGTGTGAGTGTTTCTTGCAGTCTTGGAGAGAACAAGGTCAAGGTCAACTGGAAGCTTAAGGAAATCAGGAGGCTTGACCAAAACAGCTGTAGATACCAGTTAATCTATGATACGCCAGATGGTTTGCAAACTATCAGCACAAACACTGTAGTCCTGACTGTACCTGCCTATGTTGCTGCAGATCTGATTCGCCCTCTCTCGGTGAGTTCATTCATCATTTTGAAGAAGCCCGATCAGGCAGACATCTGCCAATCCCTTCAGATGCATGGCATGCCTCTCGATATTGAACCAATCAATGCCGACTTATTATTTCAGAACGCGCAACAACATGTTTCTTCAATTTCAAATTTGTAGTGCCTGGTCAGACCTCTTAGCACAATATTATACATGACTTGTGACAGGTGTTCTTCAGGATGTGGCTGCTAAAATGGGAATGATTAAGAGAAGGCTAGCATGGTCAAAACTTAAAGCAGAAAAGGACAGAAAAAAATGGGGAAATTTTTCAAAAAAAAAGCAAAACGCAGCAAACCATGAAGAAGGATCACAAATCAGTCCTTCAGGACGTCTGTTAAAATTGGAAGGATATAGAGAAGACTAGGATGGGCGCTGCACAAGGATGACACGCACAAATCAGAGAAATGGTCCAAAAAATCTCCAAAAAAAATAAAATAAAAAGAAATCACAAGGACATTGTGTTGTCATTGAGAAGCATTGCTTCATCAACATGTCAATAAACAAGAACGACAGTGGAATCATCACATGTGCTCAAAATAATTGTGTGTAACGCACATCTACAAATATACATCTACACGAGACACAACCAGGCGAACAGACACATACACAGAGGTGGGTTGGTTGGTGGGTAGGAAAGTGTAGGTAAGCAGGTAGGAGGGATGGTACTTAGGCAGGCAGGTGGCAAGGTAGATGGCTAGGTAGGTAGGTAAGTAGGTTGGTAGGAAGCAATACGGAAATCTAAGACAAGTTAGAAACACCGACAAAGGACGTCTTGTGTGTCTGTTTGTTGGTCAGTTGGGTGGTGATCAGTCCGTCTTTCATCCCTGCGTGCCTGCCTGCCTGTCTTCTGTAGCTGTCTGTCTACGTGTCTGTCTGTAACTGTCTGTCTTTCTCTGCAGCTGTCTGTCTACATGTCTTTCCATTTGTCTGTCCGTCTGTCTGTCTGTCCATGCATCCTTCCGTCCACCCATCTGTCTGTCCATCCATACTCTCGTCCATTCACCTGCCTGTCCACACTCCTGCACAGCCACGCATCTGCCCATTTGCCCATCTTTCGTCAGTGCAGCTGTTGCTCCATTTGTTGGTCTGTCTGTGTGTCCCTTTCAGGTCCACTCCTTTGTCACCCCATCCATTCATCCGTTCTTTCTGGAGCTGTCTGTTTGGAGCTTTCTGTCTGTGTGACTCGAAGTAAAAGTAGAATGAGTGCGAGGAGATAGATGTTACGGACTCAGCCAGGGCTCGATCCCTGGTCCGCGGGTTGCCACCCGCCAGGCTACTATTGTATTCTGAGTTCCTGATCTCCGGTTCTGGACTACTGGTGCCCTCTGCAGTTGGCGCCCGTTCTCAAATTCCTCCACTGGCATTTTCGGATTTCGGTACTGGCGCCATCCGGCATTCTGGCACCCAGACGCAGACCTGCGATCCTCAGTTCAGTCCTGAGGCAGGTCACACCTCGACCCTCCGAGGAGATAGATGTTACGGACTCAGCCAGGGCTCGATCCCTGGTCCGCGGGTTGCCACCCGTCAGGCTGCTATTTTATTCTGAGTTCGTGATCTCCGGTTCTGGACTGCTGGTGCCCTCTGCAGTTGGCGCCCGTTCTCAAATTCCTCCACTGGCATTTTCGTATTTCGATACTTGGCGCCATCCGGCATTCTGGCACCCAGACGCAGACCTGCGATCCTCAGTTCAGTCCTGAGGCAGGCCGCACCTCGACCCTCCGGACTGAGCCTGAGTCCGGTACTTAAGTCCGGACTAAGTCCGGACTCGAGCCCCGTTGGGGCATTCAGTCTTCGACCTCAGTGCTTGTGCTTCAGTGTGACTTGCCGGGACTTTGTGTTCGGAATCCAAGATTGCGACTTTGCGACTTTGAGACTTTGCCGCTTCGTGTTTGTGTCCATCGTGTCGAGTCGAGTCCGTGTTCGTGTCGAGTGAGTGTGTGTGTGCTGTCACTCTCTCCATCTCTCTCTCCGTCTCCCTCGACCTCTCTGCTCTGCCTCGGTCACGTTACACTGGAATCGGAGCGGTTCGAACCCGCCCGACCGACCCTGCTTCGTCGTCACCTGGCCATCATCAGCATCATCATCGTGATCGTCGTTGTCGTGCCACGTCATCGTCGTGATCGTCGTCGCCGTGCCATCATCATCATCATCGTCGCGATCGTTGTCGTCGTGCCTCGTCATTGTCGCGATCGTCGTCATCATGCCATATCATCATCGTCATCGTCGCGATCGTCATCGTCGTGCCACGTCATCATCGTCGTGCTCGTAGCTGCGCCATGCTATCCTCGCCATCGTCGTTGTTACCTCCGCGCAGATAAGTAATCGACGACAATTTTCTTTTTTTATTCTTTCTTCTTCTTCTTCTTCCAATTATCTTCTTCTCCTTCTTTCTCTTCGTTCTTTTCTCATTCTTACCTTCTTCTCCTTCTTCTTATCATCATCGTCCCTCCTTTTCCCTCCCCTTCTTTCTCCCTCGTCTTCTTCCTCTTCGACAACGTTTCTATTCGTTTTCCTTTCGTTTCTTTTCTTCTTCGCCATTTATTTTTATTTTTATTTTTATTTATTTCTTCCTTTTGATTTCGAAATCGAAACCAAATCGATTTCAATTAAGAAATCAAATCGATTTCGATTTGAAATCGAAGTCTATTCCATTTCGATTCCGAGATCGAATCGATTTTGATTCGAAACCAAAATCAATTCGATTCCCAATCCGAAATCGAATTGATTTCGTCCAACCCCCCCCCGCGCAACCCCCCCCTACCCCTCCCACTGACCTCCTTCCGCCCAGCGCCCAACTCCCCCCCTCACCACCGCGCGCTCCGGATCTCGAACACGAGCTCCCCCACGCCCGCCCACC